ATAATTCAGTTCATAATCGGACGACAAAAAAATTGTTCTGATCATCGTTATCGAAGTGAATAATCATTCGACTTTCCTGATCGGCAAAAAGTCATATTGAAAAGTGTCTAATGTCGGAGTCGCTCAATCGTCGGTCGCTCAAAGGTCAGTCGCTCAAATGTCGGTGTCGCTCAAGTGTCGGGCGCTCAAGTGTCGGGCGCTCAAACGTCGGTTGACGACTTTGTCTGGAGCTGAACTTGAAATTAAATGTTGCAAATGGATTAATACTGTAAAATTACCTGTTTCATTGTAACTCGTACATAAAATAATAAATGTAACTTATGAACCCATGTATCAATTTCTTACATTATCTTAGTTAATTATATCAATATTGATTAGTATACAGTTGATAGAACAAATGGATAGTTAAAAAGTGAGTAGAATGATAGAAAATAAACGGGACGAAACGAGAGTAATCCGTTTTGACGGCTTCTCTAAGCACAACGCGCGAACACATACGGTGTGTGTTTATGTGAAAATAAAAGAATAAAATCCCTTTCATTACCTATACAAATGAAAAATTCCATATCTACAGATCTTCAAAGTCGATCGGGATGGAAATTTTGGTACAGTTGCTCAATAGTCAGGTCTATTCATCCCACCGGAACAAAAAAAATGAAGTTAAGTTTGAGCTGCTGACAAGTACTTTGTCGTATTCAGCATACTCGATAACCCAGAAGATTTTCTATTTTTGGCGAGGAGTACTTCCAAAAGTTTAAGAAAAATTCTCAAACTAATATTATTTTCCGATGGAAATTTTTTGGCGCCATTTCTGTTTGAATATTTTTCGGCTATTCTGTTTGAATACGAAAAAGCATTTGCCAACAGCTCAAAACCAACTTTATTGTTTTTGTTCCACTGATATGAGTGAAAACGTTTTCATTGCTTAACGCATTAGAGAGGATGATTAAGAAAAAAAATCTGTCAAACTTTAGGTTTCCTTATGCAGTGAGTGAAAATTCAATATCTCGACAAGGAGGCAGACTGGGCGAGTCCGCGGGAGTGCCGAGTCCGAGCCAAGTTCAAATCATGAAGCAAGCAAACCGAGTCCGAGTCCTTGAAATGCAGTCGCAAGTCCGGATCTTGAGTGCATCTCGAATCCAATGATTTTTTCAAACTTTTTTCGTTGTCGTTGTTAAAATTTCTTCTGTACCGTATAACAGATTTTTGTTCCACAAGCCCGCAGGGATGACCGGTGGGGATGAAATATTTTTAGCTTCTTCTAGCCTCATAGAGGGCTTCGTGTGATCAAAACATGAGCTCAACGTCGATCCGACAGTTGGGGATCTTCTCTCATCAGTGTTAGGACATATTTTTTTGTTGAAATTACAACCTACGGTTAGCAAATCGTTAATTAGCCATCAATAAGCGTAACCATTGAATCGACAATATTTTTCTGTTCGGCCACGGTTAGTTGTCGATTATTTTTCGATGAGAAAATGATACCGATTGAAATCACGCTGTGTACATTTCTTTTTTCATTTTTCTTTTGAATTTGAATTTTTATTAAACTTGATATCGTTAGAGGTATGGATTAACGATGGTAACATATAAATATAGTTGAGCAATCATTTTCTGACATAAAGCACCTTCAAATAGAGTGTGAAGGATACTTAGAACAAGTCGAGGCTCATATTTTAACAAGTGATGAGAAATTCAAAATTTTTTGGATAAACTATGTATTCAACGTCGTTTGACGATAAAAATGAATGACATAGAAGGTGAATATCTATTCTATGTATAAGCAATTCACTATTCAAGAACGCTCGATTGTATGCATATACTATCCATCCCAAAATACAAGACCCGTGGGCATTTTTTGAATAACTTTTGACAGGAATGAGATAGAGACCTGCGATTTTCGCTGTTCAATAGCCAAGACTTGAACAGAACTTTTCACAGGCGGAAACAACTTTTAAAAAAATTCCAGAGATCGGGTTTTCAGAGAATCTTTGGAAAACCAGCTCCGTTCTCAGAAAACTAACATACAATGTTAGTAATTTTTTTGCATGCATAGATAGTTCGGACGTTACTCTACAAAAGTATGCAAGTCGCGGCTCTCTATCTATCGTCGTTCGGGCAGGGCTCGCTTTTCCCGAGCACGTGTCTATCTCCAAGCAGACATCTCTGGGAATCTCAAAATGTCATGGACTATAGGTAATCGACTACGCTAAGCATAGTAGCAACATTTGTTTTTGTGTAGAAATGAATATAACTTCGCCAGAGGCATTGTTGTGAAAAAGCGGTTTTTCGCCTGTTACTAACAAAAATTAAAATCCTTATATTTCGATCAAATCTCATGTTGACTCAAGGAAATTTTCAGAACCCACGGGTCATGTATTTTGGGATGGATAGATACAGTAATTTGAATTTTTGGTAAGTTATTCACTTATCTTTTTCCAGGTCTTGCTTTTACCTTGCAAGAAGGAACAAAAGACACTTACATGGAATTTTTTGGACGGGATTTCTTGCGATATTTTACAAATTATGGCTATGATAAGATACTACGAGTGGCTGGAAGACATTATCGTGATTTTTTACGTACTATTGATCAATTGCATGATAGCAATCGATATAGTTTTCCACATATGAATAGTCCCGTCTTTCATGTCACAGAAGAAGATGAGAATGGTGCTGTACTTCACTATAAGTAGGTAAAGTTAGATAATTTTTCTACATTTAGCACACTAAACGTATTCTCTTCTTGTATAACTTTCAGATCAAAACGTCTTGGATGGGAAACATACACCATTGGTGGACTCAAAGAATGTGCAGCAAAATTATTTAAAACTGATGTTACAGTTCGAATTCAAGCAGATGAATCAAGTAATGGAAGTACGTGTAAAATATCAGATGACGTAGTTTTATAGGCGTGTCATGAGCACTACTTCGTCTCGTTCAACAGATTTTCAAGAGAGCACGTATTTTTTTCAATTTTTAGCGACCGATATTATATTTCGGATTGATTTTAATAATCGTGGAACAATAAAGCAAATATTCTATTTGTCAACACTACCAGATTTGACAAGTGAAACATTTTTTAAAGTAAGTTGTCTAACATAAACTAATGATATACTATTACTTTCACTTCTGTTTTCAGGTATTTCCATTTTGTATCGTTATCAACCGTTTTATGCGTATTTTTCTCGTTGGTCAAGGTATTCGAAAATTATTTGCTCCACCATACGACAAAGTATTAGTCGGACAAAGTTTTAATGATGCATTTTCGCTTATTCGACCCGATATTCCACTTCAATATCAAAAAGTACAAATCATATATTAAATGAATTTTCAACTAATTTTCTATTTTTTGTTTTTTATCAGATTTTATCTTATGGTCGACATATTGTATTTGTCATTGAAAGTAAACATCCATTACGTGCTGATATATATCGATCAAATGATGTACCAAGATCTACCGTTCGCCTTAAAGGTCAAATGAAATCAATTAAAAATTGGAATATGATTGTTTTTCTATGTCACCCAGTGTAAGTGGCAGTATTCTTGTCAGAAAAGGTTGTCTATATATTCTATGTGAATGTATGTTGCAGACTTTGCTGATGTTTTCTTGTGAAATTTTGTAATAAGATCTCGTTATAAGATAATGTAAGATCTGAATGGTTATATAAGATCTTATATAACCTTGTGGCAAGAAAATATGTAAAAGTCAACAATGTCTGCCACAAGATTTTGTAAGATCTTACAAGATACTTCTAATTCCGATGATTTCCGGAGTTCGGACGGTCGATCGGATCCCGAGACCAGAATCCGCTCAATTCTTTGTCTTCCCGATATATAAATCCTGGAGGATCCGGAGATTGAATCCGATATCCGGAACCAGTTGGATCCGTTAATTTCCGGTCACCGCAAATCAACAGATATTGTGCTGCGCACTTCTTTCTTTTCTGTGTGCATAATTTATTCATCATTTTGTTTCGCGACAGCAGTGCTTTAAATATGAATTTGCAGAAAAATGAAAGCTAGGAAAATTTTCTTCTCAAATTCCTAACAGTGTGAGTCATCGTTTATACTGATCAACAGACGTGTTGTACACGCCATAGCTAGGCGGTCCTTATACTCTCTCGAATGCGCAGAGACAGGAACCACTAGAAAATGAACGAAAAAGAGCAGGAAATAAAAAATCTAAGGCTATTTTTAGCCTTCAAACACCTGAAAACCGGTCACATTCTGTCAAATCCAGCGAAATTCAATGTCGGGAGCTCGAACGATCCTGTCGGAACATTACCGATATCTTCCGGCACAGAACCCAGCGCCAGGATTCCGGCATAATACGGCATGGTTCCTCTAGGATTGTGTCAGATTCCGACATGTTCCGACGTCGGATCCGGTCGAATCTTTCAGGAACTTGTCTTCGGAATCCTCGACTCGGATTATTACAAGGATCTTACGAAATCAGAGAAAATCGTGCAAGAATCTTATAAGATCTTACAGTAAGATTCTATGACTTGGGCAATATATACATAACATTATTCTCTCTGAAAAACTTGAAACTTTTTTCTCTTTTCAACTTCACACGTTAGCTGAGCACATATAAAGTGTACGGTTAAGAAACGTGACAAAAGACAGTCCTATGACCGCCTAGGATCTGTGAATGTTAGAAATTATATAGACAAAGAAAATTGCGGAGTTATAGAAGGATTTGACAGAAAATGATCAAGCGTATATGATGTTATCTTGTGACTTCTTATCAGGTTGTATAATTTCTTACAGCTTCTTTCTGTAAGGTCTTATAAAATCATACAAGATCTACAAATCATTCCTATGATAAGAAAAATCTTATAGGATCTTATAAGAATCTTACTACAAGAAGTCATATGAAATCTTGTAAGATTTTATATAGAATTGATAAGATCTTTTGAAATCTTATGATTTCTAATCATATGATCCTTCAAGATCGTATATGACCTTGTAAGATCTCCCAAGATCTTGTTATCGAATTCTTGGACTTGGATTCTCCTTTAAATATTCTATAGTTTGGCGACAATAGAAGAAATGGTTTCACTTGGCTTATATTTGAATGATTTAAATTTTTATGATGGTACAAGTGAAATGTTAACTGCAGGAACAGAACGTTCGAGACAATTAAAACAAGCCATAGACAGAGTAAAAAAATAAAGAAAAATATTAATCAATATTCTACTTATTTTTCTCTATTTAGCAACAAACATGGATAGCTGAATTAGAGAATAGTAAAATTGAATATCAAGAATGGCGAAAGAAAAGTAGATATCTTTTATACTCAATGATGCCCAAACATATTGCTCTGATGTTACAAGAAGGTATTCAACCAAATTCCATTTGTGAGGTATAGATATAGAATAATCATAGTTAATATTCAACTAAAAAGAATTTTCTCTTTTCAATTAGTCACACAAAATGATAACAATCATGTTTTCTTATACGTTAGATTTCAAAGAGTTAGCATCCAAATTAGATCCTATTCAAATAATTAATAGTTTAAATCAAATAGTGAGCACGTTTGATCAATGTACAGATAAATTTGACGTATTCAAGGTAAAATATAAAAATCTTTTTAGATTTTTATTATGTTTAAAATATGGATTTAAAAAAGGTTGAAACAAAAGCTGATTTATCATATATGGTTGTTGGTGGATTAAAAAATCGTTTACCATTGAACAGACGTACATCAAATAATGTAAGATATTATCTATACGTTTCATTATTAAAAATTTTTCTCCAAAATCAATTTAGAGTACAGCATCGAATGGCAGTTCAGTCAATAGTAATGATTTTAGTTCTCTACTTGATATTAAAAATCCATTAGATATGAATCAAGCAGAAATTATTGCTGGACTATCATTAGAACTACAAAAACAATCAGACAATTTTATCAATCCAATGACAAATAAACCATTTCGAATTAAATTTGGTATGCAGAAGAACGATAATAGTCATTGTTACTTATAACCATTTCTTTATTAGGTTTTCATTCTGGACCTGCAGTGGGTGGAATTGTTGGTAATAAAAACTTTCAATATTGTTTATTCGGAGATACCGTGAACATGTTAAGTATTCTTTAAAATCTTTTGTATTTCTTACTTTGTATTCATTGTAAACGTGTATTTTTGGTATTTTAGGCTAGTCGAGTGACAACATCTGGAGATGTGAGTTCAACTGTTTCATGCAAAAAATAATCTTATCCTATTTAATTTTGTTTAGATTGGTCGAATTCATGTTAGTCCGACATCTTATCAGTTACTAAAGTGCTCACCATACTATGATTTGGTGTACAGAGGGAGAACAGAACTAAAGGTACACATTTCATCCAGTAATTTGTGATCGATTTGACTCTTTCATTTTAGGGTAAAGGATTATATGAAACATTCTGGCTAGTCGGCGCAAAATCAAATTATTCAAATGTGCTTAGACCATTTAATCAACATTTGATACATCAACAGCAACCGTCCTTAAACTCTAATCGTTATCAAAATGATCTTCATCTCAATGATAATGTTTTTGATCCGCCTGTTTCATTAAAAAGCTTAGAGATCAAAACTTTTGAACTGCCAAAGCAGAATCAACAAACTAGTATAAATATTCGTATAAATGACGACTGTACGTCTTCGTCAAGTGTCAGAGATTATGGTTACGTATCTACTTCGCCAAATGATGAAAACATATCAATAAGTAAGGAGAGTAGTGGTCAATTCAATGAGCAACTACTTTTTTCACCACGACCATCTCGTCCACATATCGCCACTCGAAAATCCGTGTCGTGCGCTTCAGCAAAATGTCCATTTAGCTCATGTTTTCCCTTTGATTAAACGTCTAGTTAATAAAAATACGACTTTAAATTGATTGTTGTCGTATAAAACTAGATATTGTTCGCAAGAAAACCTATACGAGCAGTGGATACTTTTACAAAAAAATATGTATTAAAATTTTTAAATGAATGCTTTTCAACCACGGCTAGGTATAATTATGTATCCAAGTGAATTGCTGACAATTACTGGATACTTCTCAAATAGACATGTTTCCTATTTGGCATGGTCTGACCGTGATTAGATTAGATTTTCATCCTAATCATAGTTCATAGTTATTTATAAAGGAGACCAATACACGAGAGTAACATCTTACTCCGTGCTCCATACATGCATGGAGTATACTGAGACTTCGTGTATTCGGCGTTTTGTGAGAAGTACATTGAGAAACTATTGATTGTGAGACACGGGCATACTCATCAAAGAGTCACTCATTTTATTAAAAAAAACAGCGAACTGTCTCCTCATGTTTTCGTTTAAATAGACTGGATTATAGTTAATTTGTACTGCCGATGCGTCCTTATAAGTTATGAATCCTTTTTTACCACTGAGAACCCACCACGACCGTCTGCGAATACTAGATTTGTAGTTAGGACCACAAGCTACGTACAATATATTGAACTGCAGCGAAAAAAACCATGGATAACTAACGAGCTTCTCTCATTAGAGTAATCTCGTGCTAGAGAGAAAACTTTGTTTTATCTTACTGTTTACTTGGTATAAGTTTTGACAATCGTTTAACATGAGACAAAAAGCATATTTTGACAATGCTTGTTTTGGAAAACAACTATTATGTTTTTGATACCCAACGTATAGATGAAAGTTTGCTAATTTTGATTAATCGTACTTAGCAAGGTTTGGCTACTCACTTTCAGGAAAAGACACATCGTCCTGATATTTCTCATTTAATTTTGCATTATTTGAGAGCGTAGACTCTTTTTCTAACCCTTAAAATTGTTACAGACAAGATCAGTTCAACATTGTGACAAAAAAAAGGTGTCGCGGCGTTATATCAATCGTACTTCTGCCAATGGTATAAGTGTCTGGATTTTATGCCAATGAATATAAAAAAAAATGTTTACACCAATATGGATATAAACGAAAAGTACTTTACACCATTGGTGTAAGAGTTGAAAAAAAAGAAGGTATTGGTTTAAGTACACTAACACTTTCAACTGTGTGACTGATCACAGCGAAACTATTTGATATATAAGTTGTTCCGACTCCATGCAGTGAAAAATTGATGCAGTACAATATATCAGATATTTTACAGTATTTAGAAAAAAACAGTTCATTTGCTGCTGAACTTATTAGATGGGTGTAAGAAAACGGATTTTTATACCAATTGTATAACTCCTGTTTTATATACCAATATTGGTATAAAAAATCAGTGTTTTTGCCAACATTAGTGTAAAACTCTTTTTATATACATTGGCATAAAATCGACACACTTATACCATTGGTATAAGTGCCATTGGCAGAAGTACGATTGGTATAACGCCACGATTTCAAAAAAAAAACAGGAAGGCTTCATATCTCATGATTCCATACTATCCTCTCTCTCTCTCTCAGACTGATTTTTGTCCTGAAGTTGAACTCGTTATTATTTATACTATTTTACACTAAGTTAATTGAATCGCAAATTATTAATAAAACACACATCAAAACATGCAAAAAGCACGACTAAAAATGTCCAGGTCAAATAATCGTACCGTAGTATCCTACAAGATTCTTCCAAGATCCTACTTTAGGATCTTATAGCGGGATCTTGCAAGAATCTTGTAGGAAAACCTCAAAGCCGCAAAATCTTACTGTAACATTCTTATAGGATCCTGTAGTCAGATCTTGTAGAATCTTGCAAGATATTGCAATAGGATTTTATCTGATTTTATGCTGGTTGCTGTAGTTGCTGCGTGCCGCTACTCCTCGCCCTTTTTTGTCTGTTTTCATGCCAAATCTGTTCACTTTCAATCGTAAATGTGTTTTTATTTTCTAATACGTGCAAACATCACATGTAAATTACAGTAACAGAAAATTTAAAGTTAAATAGTTTTATTATTTTTATTTGTTTAATTATTCTCTGATTCCAGCTATTTAGAATAAGGTGATTCTGAGCTGGGATAAGCGCAAGACTTGTGCCGTAGAAACCTACAATAAGAATCCTATGAAATCCTGATATCAGTAGGATCGTAATAGGATTGTTTGACCTGTGTGATGATCATCTGTCCAGACTTTAGAAAAAGAAATAACTGCTCAGACAATGTGCGTTACTACTGTCTTCCAACTCTAAAAATCAGTTTATAATAGCAATAATACTTTAAATATATCTAGAAACGATTGTTCCATCAATTCCAAACAGATTGAGAACTCAACAGACGTATAATTCCAGTTTATTTGGCTAAAAACTGAAAAAAACAAGAAAAACGGCGCATATTGTTCTCAATGTAGGCCAATTCTTTTTATGACGAGTTTTTGATCCAATGAGTTATATATACAGATCGACGTAGTTTTTCATGCTCTATCCGAATATGATCTTGAAACTTAAAAAGAAGTTCGAAGGTATTGCTTAACAAGCAGGAGAATTAAAGTTGTGTCGTTTTAAAAGAGTATCTCGGCGAGATCTTCCCGATCGGCTATCGACAGAACCAGTTTCGGTCCTTCCCAGAGACCTTCTCAGGAAGATTTGCAAAAGAGTTTTTCAATTACACGAAAATATCATTCTAAATGAAGAGGGAATTCAAAAAAATCTATATTTACAATATTTAACATCGAAAAACAATTGATTTGGTCGATAAAGTACACTGAAAAAACGGAAATAACCTGATTTTATCACGTTTTTTCCAACTTTCACTATTTTCCGCAACTTTTTTTAAGTTTCAAGGTCATTGCCGGATAGAGCATGAAAAACTACGTCGATCTGTATAAATAACTCATTGGATCAAAAACTCGTCATAAAAAAAATTGGCCTACATGGAGAACAATATACGCCGTTTTTCCTGTTGTTTTCAGTTTTTAGCCAAATAAACTGGAATTATACGTCTGTTGAGCCCTCAATCTGTTTGGAATTGATGGAACAAATCGTTTCTAGATATATATAAAGTATTATTGCTATTATAAACTGATTTTTACCACGGCAAAAAAATTTAAAAAAAAAAAATATACCGTTTTGTTCAGAATTTAATGCTGATTCTAACCATATAGTTTTTTTCCCTAAATGTTTTGGGCGAAAAAATGACCTTACCGCCACTTGTCCTTTGTTCTTTTCCTTTTTACATTTATATAACAGCGGCCATTTTTGACGGTAAAAATTGACGGCTAACGGGAAACAACATGCTGTGGAACAAACAAAGTTTAGAACAACTAAAGTCTGTTGAAGATTTTAATCAATCGAAACTTTTTGTTAAGCAAAAGTAAAATTACGAAGTAAGAAAAAAACTAGGTAAAAAAACCAGGTGAAGTATCGAAGTTATTTACTTCGTTATTAGTAATGAGTAACTCATTTTGTTACTTAGTTACTTCGTTACTTTCGTTTAACGAAAGTAAGTAAGTACCAAAATGAGTTACTCGTTACTAGTTACAAGTAAAGTAAAGGTAAAGTGCCACCCGTGTTTATAAATACGAAAGATGAAAAAATGAGAAAAAGTGAAGAAACAACCTTCGAAAGCAACCACGCCTTTTCGCTTCGTTCGAAGGAGACACTTTTATTTTCGAGAAGAGTAAAAATAGAAACGGTAAAAATTCGATTGTTTAATCGGTCATTCTTTGTGTACATATGCTCTGAAATAGTTTTTCTTAACTTTTAAGTACCATCGATGGCCACGTTTTTGTTACTTTCTTCTTACGCTTAAGAAATGTACTGAAAATAACCACTCATAAACTTTAGAAAAGTTGTTTTGTGTGAATCAGAAAAATGAGACAAGAGGTTATACTAATTTTGTCGTGCAAAAACAAATAGAGAAGAATCTCTCTCCAAGAGCGTGGTTGTACGCGTTTCACGGTTGGCGGTTGTTGACGAACCAATCAAGGTTTAAGCCCGAGGGCGATACGTGGTACACACGTCTTAAATCGCACCCGGCGCCTCTCAGACACTCTGATTTCGGACACGGGTGGAGACGTCCAGTTCATCGTGAGCTAACTCGACACTCCTCTAATTAAAAGGAGCCAGAACTTTTTCTGAAAGAAGGAAAAATATTCCTTCGCACGTTTTCTGAAACATTTTTAAGAAATAGATTCGAAACTTCGTTTCAACCAATTTCTTCTTCCCAGTCTCATATTGTGTGTGCATAATATTTGAATGTGTCATAGAGCATGTACATATATAACGGCATCAAAGGACTTGCCGTTATGTAAAAAGCGTTCAATTTTCTTTGCTGTTCAGTTTCGTTAGTACAAACACATGAGGGAACGAGGAAAAAACATTTTTTTCTCCCTGACTCATGTACAAAACAAATTTTGTTCGATAATTCTTTGTGTATGTCTCGTTTTTCTTCTTCTTTGACTGCTGACGATCGAGTCGAGCAACCGTGACTCGCGTACAGCCACGGTCGATTTTCTATCTTCTTTTTTGTCGTATTGAGCATTCGACAAAACACGTTTAACTTGTTGTATAAATATTCACAGCCAGCCGCACTGCTGACCTAACTCCCTCCTCCACAAACGTTTATATTTGGAGAGAGATTCCTCTCTATTTGCTTTTGCACGACAAAATTAGTATAACCTCTTGTCTATCGGGTCAACAGCCGCAAAATTTTTGATCCTAAAATAATTGATCACTCATCCTCAGATATTGACATACCAAAATCGTTTTTTATTTACCGACGCAACTCGATGAATCTTCAAATTTTAGTGCGTTACCATGCATCCTGGGTAATCCGATACCTCGAAAATGTAAAATGTCATTCTGTTGCATGTGGAAGCATCGTGGAAAATTTTTTTGGGACTGTCCAAGGTCTGTCGCTGCAAAATCGAAAACGCATTGCGATGCACTTTAATTTACCGAGTGT